GTTTTTTATTAATGGGTTTGTATGTTATACGGCCATGATATGGTGCTAATTTTAGTAAAGTCATCGTTTGCAGTTCATAGGCGTTCATAAGTTATTTCTTATAACAGTCTGTTAGAAACATATTGGAATTACAACTCCAGATTTTTAAAAAGGTGATTTTTGAGTAAACGTTCCAGCAGCTATAAAATGTATACCTATGAACTACACCAGCTGTACTTCCCTTTACTCGAGTTATTAGTTATATTTTAATGTTCAACGAACCCATTAAAAAAGGTGGTTCAGTGGTATGATATCAATGATTCCTTCTAAATGTTGGGCATTACAAGTAATCAAGATGATCGTTTAGATTGTGTTTTTAAACAAAGCAATAATTCCTAACTCCAAATAAACACAAAAAAACAGAATATTAATTTGTTTAATTTTCCAATATTATTTTTAACAAATTAAATTAATTATTTACAACTAAAATGCTATTGGATAGTTAGGACAAACATACAATATCTAAAGTAGTTGCTCGAAATGTAAACCCAATTGTTCAATACACAATTCACATCTACGAATGATCGAACGTGGTATAGCATTATTCAAATAAGGCCTTATTTCATCACATGCATTCCTGATTCTGTCTATTAGCATATCTCTTATGGTTACGGGAGTCTGGTACACTTTTTCTTTTAGAAATCCCACACAAAGAAATCTAATGGATTTAGGTCAGGGGATCGTGGAGGCCAGGCGACTGGTCCCCCACGGCCGATCCATCTTTCTGGATAATTTTCGTCCTGCCAGTTTCTAACTATTCTTGAATAATGAGCTGGACAACCATCAAGCTGGAACCACGCCAATCTTCTTAAATCTAACATAACATCATCCCACATATTTGCATGTTCAGCCTTTAAAAATTCCAAGAAGGTCGCAGCATTTAACCTTGCAGGCAAAAGGTAGGGTCCAAATAGTCGATTACGGTAGATGCCAATCCACACGTTCACACTAAATTCATGCTGAAAATTTCTTTCCCGAACTGCATGCGGATTTTCATGCGACCAAATATGTTGATTATGAAAATTTACCACTCCACGTCTAGTGAAGAATGACTTATCGGTCCATAAAACGTTACTTAAAAACTCCCTATTATTATCAGTTCTGTCAAGAATCCACTAACAAAATATGATTCTTCGTTCTTCGTCCCCTGGCTGTAGTCTTTGCACAGGTTGCAAATGGTAAGGACGTCTATGGTCATTTCTAAGAACACGGTGAACATGGCTTGCTGAAATTCCCAAGGCACCAGAAACTCTCCTAACACTTGTAGTCGGATCTCTATCAAACTCACGCAGAATCATACGGGTAAATCTGCGCTGACGAACATTTATGTTTTGATCTCTTTGGAGATTTCCAAAACCATTTTCAATTATTTGGCGATGTACTCTTACAAATACTGAGCGAGTTGGATGTCGTCTGTTTGGAAATCTTCGTGCGTATTCTCTGGCTGCTTCTGTTGCGTTTCCATTTACAAAGCCATACACAAAATGAATATCCGCTAACTCTTGATTGGTGAAAAAAAATGGCATTTTTATAAAACTTACAAAAGAAACAGGTAAAAGAAACAAAGTTTCCTGCATTCACAATTGCAAAAAAACGTTTCAGGTTTCAACAGACAACAAAACTAACTGTCAACTAATTGACGTTTAGCCTTATTCTGCTTTCAATTTCAAAAATATTTGCAGGCACAGCCTACTTCTAAAAATTATCGAGATACTGACTTTTTAACGTTATTTTATCATAAATAATTAAAAATGCATCGAACCTTAAAAATCGAAATATCTCAAAAACGGGTAACTATAACGAAAATTCACAAGAGAGCTTTTTTATGTTGAAAAGCGCGAAGAATCAGTTCTTTTATTCAAAAAGCAAAAATTGCACTAATAAAAATTTTTCGGTCATTTTAATACACTACAGGTACAGTAGAGAGCGCACTCTAGCGGCTACAGTAAAACTATACCCATGGTTTGTTTGTCGTACCAAAAAAACCCTTGCATACCAATCTTCCCCTTTTATACATCAAATATTGTTCGAAATATTTAAAAAAAACTATTTTAGAAATTAAATTTAAACACCCTGTATTTCGGAAGCCACGCATTTTTCGACCCATGTTTATATAGACTTTATGCATTAATTTAACAGTTGTATCGAATCTTAAAGTTATGCAACAATAAACTGAAACACCCTGTATAGCTCTCCAAAGATATACAAATATAAACTACATTCGTTCCAAAATACATAATACCTCACCAACAAATTTGATCGTATAAATTATAGTGTACTTAAACATCATATTAATTAACGAAAATGTGGGTGGTGTTTAATTTTATTTAATATTCATATGCGCCTATGTACATAGATTTACATCGGTTTTCTCTTCTCAAATATATAAATGTACCGATGTAATCGTTTATAACTATGATTCATAATAATTTAATTTCTTGATTGAATATCTGCACACAGACTCTATTAGTGCATCTGCAGGCCTATTAATTTTGACAGTGTCTTTAGTGTATTTATATATATTTTTGATACCAGCTCCCTATCTTCATTATATTACCGTACTAGTCTGCAAACACCATTGATTCTTTCAATAATAGTGCGCCAATAGTACACGTTAGCGGTTTTTAAAAGTAATTGCTGATTTGCTGACTAGTTGAAGCCAAAAATATGAAATATTGGGAATGCTGCTCGAATTCATTTGGTTTATCGGTTTTAAAAAATAGTGGGAAATTGCGTCATATGATATATTTATTGTCAAAATTTTTCAATGTTCAAAATATCATCAAATATACGTTCTCATATAATACATTTAATTCCAAACTATAGCAACTTACGGAGGCAAATTACTGAAAGGAGACTGATAGCAACATTGCGCACATGCATCCAGTCTTTTTGAGTGCCTATTGGCTACTTAAGAGCCATTTTCCAGTCTTCGCTCATACCGACGATGCTGAGTTGTCGTAGGCTTGGGAATCCGTACCATCTTACAAACTTTCTTCTTAATTAACACAACTTCAGATTCCTTCATTCCAGTTTCATAGCATCTGCATAACTAAATTAAAACAATTCTGCTTCTCGATCTTTAATTTAGTAAAGTATGAAATGAAATTCCATTCATTTAATAATGTTAAAACGTATCTCTGCCGCTTAACTTTTAGTTTACTTGCCATTGGTGTAGTTAGGCTGACATGATGTAGCCACAAATGTTCAAAATACTGATCAATTGTTTCATCGGCCTTCAGGAACTATTTAAAAATACACTGATATATGGATTGAAAAACAACTGTGGTCATGCTAAAAAATATCTGCATTGGAGAAACAATAGCAAACGTCCAAGCTAAGGTTGTTATAATGCAAACAAAAGAAAAAAACTAAGATTCAAAACCAAGTGCGATCCACCACCTTTGCTAATGTTAAAGTATTGTAGGGTCAGTAGGTCTGTCAGGTCTGTCAGATCTGATTGTGCAGATACCATGTATTTGTCATCTCGTAGTGTCAGCGTACCTCGTCACAGATATTTATAGTTGCTGTGAGTATAGAGTAGACAAATTTGAAAAATATCACATTATTTACTACATCACCAGGAAAGTTATCAGCAAATAAGGTATCAAAACATTACCAATTCTCGTTGTCATTTGCTGTTCAATACAGGAATTCCCCGAACTCCTAAGCCACTGTATATAACTTCCATCTTGTTTCCTGAGTAGCAAGTATGCGTTACGCGGATTTGCTTTATGGTCTTTGTTATAAATACATAGCCGTTTTACATTTTCCAAGTGTTGGATTGTAAAATTTAATCAAGGTGACTACAATATGTTCACGAGCTAATGAGGAATTTCGTTTCAACTTCTATTACGATTCTTGGTCCTAATGGAATGAGAACATCAAATATGCCGCCAAGTAGATGCCTTTTACTTCCCACGCCATTTGACGAGGAGGTAATGTAAGCACGGAAAGTTTAAAAAATGAAATGATATGTTTTTTTTGGATGTTACATAACACGTACTCCACTAAAAAACGTATCAGTTTGGAAGAGTGCATCCTTGCTAGTTGCATCCTTGGAATCAATTAAAGCAAGAAGGATATTCTGATCCCCGTGATATCGCGGTCCCGTCAGACATCTGAACATAAATGTGTTTTATTCTGATGATTAGACATGGTGGAAATAGTGCAGGTGAAATATTCTGATTCAGATATTTTTCATAACAATTGTCAATAGAGACTTCTTTTGATAAGCAGTATTCCAACAAATTCCGATGCTTTAGGTTCTTAGGACAGTCTGAACAAAACGTGCATTAGAAACATTCTCTGGAGTTAGTTTTCGACATCTAAGCGACTTAATACATGAAGAAGCGCAAAACATGCCATTTTCGATCGCGAAAGTCGATAGGAAAGAACGTAAATTTTAATGTTGTTCATGTTCCTTTAATATTCTTCAAACATCCATTAAAAAAATTCCAAAGCATTTTTAGGGGGCAATTTGATTTTGACAAGTGTTTAAAGTGACATGTGCCCGAAATGCTTCGAGATTATATGAATGGATGTTTGAAGAATATTTCGAAATTTTAGCAACATTAAAATTTTGTTTTTCCTACTGTTTTTCGAGGTCGAAAATTGGATAATTTGAACTTTGGTATATATCGAAATTATATATTGTGCCATTTGTATCACCTAGGGCAAAAATCTTGTACCCCATTTATGAGGCTTTTTTGGATTATACGTTTTCAAGGTGGAATGTCCCTTGAAAGGAACAATTTGCTCGTCCACACCGAATATTTGACCTTGTAAAGGTATAGTTTTACATTTAGTCACAAGTGCTTTAATTACAGCCTGAATCTTGTACAGTTTATTTCTCTCCTTATCATTCCTATCGGGCATGTTGTCGTTATTATTGAAATGTATAAAATCTCCGAATTTCCTCATATCTTTCCCGACTCATGATATCAGCTATTCGAGCAATTCTACTTGTATTTGACCAATAACTTCTGGTACGGTGTAAATCGAATACAGCGCATAAAAATCGTTACACCAATAAACTGCTCCAATTCGCTTACTGATAGACATAATGCCTTATGAGGTCGATTTTGAGTGCAATACAGGTTCGATTGATATACAATATGTTCCAGTAGATCATCGTCAAAGAAATATTTGAAACAGGGCGCTAAGACAGTGCCACTTGACTGTTTAGGGCTAGTGAAATTGGGGATTTCTTTCTCTGAACCCTTGGGTACATCCTTCCACAAGGATGGTGTATTATCTTCACGTACAGGTGACGCGAAACTTGCTACAGGTAGATAATCGTCGTCGTTCCATGTGTCATCATTATCCGGGGCTACACCTTTTGCACGGATCTTCAACTCACTGAGTGGAATTTCATCATCCGAATCGTACATACTGTCCAGTAATGGAATGCATGTCTCCAGTACTTCCTCTGAGTCGCTTTCAGGCAAATACTCATCTTCACTAACTTCTGGCGGAGCTATTCCAACTACAAGTTGTGTTCCTTTGCGACGCAGTGAAACTTGCCTTTCCATCTAAAGAATAAAACAAAACGATTACTGCCGGATATATCATATGTGATACGGAAATAAACGTTAGGCAATGCCTGGATTATCATTTTTGATACAATTAGTTTCATTTCAAAAAATATGCTCTAGCATAGTAAATGTGAAGGAATTCAGGAAAATACGTACATTTTATTGAAATTTTGAAACCATACAAAAATTCTTTGTAAAATTTTCAGAATAAAATAGTCGCGCCGGTTGCATCAATTTTGATACGCATCACTTTTGTGCAAAAATACTGAAGTACATACAAGAAAATAAAAAGATTTATAGCACTTACCTTCAACAAACAATCGTTTGATACAAATATATTTTTTCTTCACACTTATGACAGAGGATTGGATTGATAGAACTAGATTTTATCAGCGTATATCACGAAGTGCACCTGCCACTTTTTGAATAGCATGTAGTAGACGTCAATTATACAGAATAGTAGATTTCTGTGCCGTGTACAAATTATCTTGCAGCCGTACGATTATTTAGAAGTAATATCACTAGATGGCGCAGTCATCTATATGCTTTGCGGTATATAAATTTCGATGGGTTTTAGTATGTATCACATGTGATACATTCGGCATAAAGCGGTTAATGATATTCATTTCACAAAAATAAACCAAACTAAAATAAATGACTTTTTTAAGAAAGATTTTCAAAAACTTTTATAAATGTGAATTATAGATATTATTAGCCACTATTACAAACATTTTATATACCCCTGGTTATGGTATAAACTAATGAAAAATATTTTTTGGTATTCGGATTATTTATCGCGTATTACGAACTTCGCTTATAGCGAACCAGTTTCGCCGGTCCCATGAGGTCCGTTATAAGCGGACATTACTGCATTTTACTATACAGGGTGTTCCATAATTATTGCGACAAAATGATAGGTGTTGTAGAGGGCATCAAAATGAACAATTTTGCCTTATAAACCCCTGTTCGGAAAACATGCCGTTTGGGCTGCAACAAAAAAAAAACATCAGTTTCTTGAAACAGCTTACAGTAATTGCTCAAAGTGTCATCCACCTTGCTCAATACACAGCTGTGCACGATTGTTCAATGATCGGCGAACTCTGTCGCATACCCCCGGTATGTCCTGAACATGTGCGGACGCGGTCATCACTCTTCCCAGTAGCTGTTGTTGGTTGAGAACAGGAGTTTCGTACACTAAAGCTTTCAGATGGCCCCAGAGAAAATAATCCAGTGGGGTCAGGTCGGGTGACCGCGCAGGCCAAGGCACAGGGCCACCTCGGCCTATCCACCTATTTGGAAATTTGTCGTGTTGAAACTACATGTGGGCTCTTATGTTCAGTGGCACATTTTCTAATAATTCCGGTCGCACATGCTGTAAGAATCGACCATAAGCATGCCCATCCAAACGTGGTGGAAGCAAATATGGCCCGATGATATGCTCGTCCACAATGCCGCACCAGATGTTAATTGAAAACTGATGTTGGTCTCTATGGATGGCTATGGCATGAGGGTTTTCTTCATCCCAAATGTGACTCGTCAGTGAACAAAACGTAGCGACCAAAGTTTGGTTGCCTCAACTCCATGAATCCTTGCAAAAATGGCGTGATGCGGATGAGGACGTTCTGGAAATCGTTGAGCGTAGATTCGCGAGGCTCGTCTTCCGTTACCACCAGCTTCTTCGTAAATTAAATGAATATCCGCGAGTTCCGCATACGAATAACGCTGCATTTTAACACTAAGGTACTGTTATTTACTATCTAGTTTGACACACCACTCAGATAAATTAAATGAATCGGTGTGGAGAATTTACGATAACAAAAATGTAAACACAGCAGGCTTTTTTTCACAAACCGGCGAGACCATGAAATGTGCTAGACGAACATTTTGCAGCTGGTGAATTTTTGTTTCTCCTATGAGCTCTTAAGGTAAAATTAGCGGTAGTGCTCAAAACGGCATATTTACGAACAGGGGTTTATAAGGCAAAATTGCATATTTTTATGCCCTCTACAACCCCTATCATTTTGTCGCAATAATTATGGAACACCCTGTATAATAGGTTTTTATTGAATGCTTGTTTTCACAGGTTGAGAGTTGTTGTCAGATTTTATTACTTCATTAGGTTTTTCGGGTTGATGGATATTTTTAGTAACAAACAGTTTTATATATTGACTTCGAACTCCACAGCACTACAATCACTTGAATTCACTATGCCCGCGCTCCACGGGTGAACAAGTTCTAAAGTACAAGAGGAGACCCCTATGCCTATGCGGAACTTGCGTATTTTCGTTAATCTCTTATATTATCTTCATATGGCACCGTGGCGGCATGTAACGATCGTTCCTTCTGCAAATATCATTATTAGAAGGTGTTTATACCTTTGAAAACCTAAATAGTATCAACATAGTCTGCAACTAACCTTTCTGGCGGACATTTTTAATCTCATTACAATCCAAACCTAGTATTTGGACCGAGAAACGATAGAGGTTGGTGTAGCTAAGCTAGATAATTTCCAAATGCTTAAACGTATAAACAGCTTCTGGCACAATTTTTGGGCTTGGTAACATGCTAGAGGTTCTTCCATAAGATTGTGCACCAAATCTGAATCAGAATATTTTCCCAGCAGATACATAGATACTACCTGAACTAGTAGCTACTACTACAGGATATTGATCACGCTATATGAACAAAAATAGAAAATCATTGAGGGTCTGTTAGGAATAAGTTCCTATATCTCACACAACTGCTTTCGTCACTTTCTTATGACATAATCAAAGATATGACAATTAGTGGCAAATACAGAGTCAATATACTTCACTTCATTTTTTAAACCCCACTGACATTAGGCAGTTCAAATCTCCGATTTGCAAGACGTCGTTTATCATTTTAAGTAGCTAGGGCATTCGACATTCAGGACCGTTACGCATGCTTAAGTAAAAAAAAACTTCTGTATGAAGCACTAACCGCATAATTCGTTTGGAATGTTCGGGACTATTGCAAATAGAAATTTGAAACGTACTCGGCCATGGTAATTTGTCATTCACTAATAGTGTCGCTGTCTAAAAATCAATTCGAGGAAAACCAGAGTCGTATGTTTAAAACGTGATATGAGTCGCTTAGAAAAAAAATTTTTTTTTTGGTTGCCTAGAAATATTTTGAATCATGCATTGCGCTTATCTAGGAAGTCAGAAAAACGAGTATAATAAGACTTAAGATTACGCGCCTCCAAGAAATTGTCCCTGATTAATAACTGACCGAAATATACAAGGTATAAATGCGGAAAAATTTCGAAAATTGGATTTACTTCTTGTGGATGTTACATGACATGTCACATATGGCTTTGGTGATCTTGCTTGTAAGCTCATCAAGTCATATTTAGTGATCGGTCGCAAGTGGCTGTGGTTGATGGTCAGATGTCTTTGCCAAATGAAGTTAGTTCAGTCCGGAGTACCTCAAGGCTCCGTATTAGCTCCATTGCTTTTTTTGTTATATACCGCGGATCTTCAAGATACTGTCAAGCACTGTCATGTGTAATTCTTTGCCGATGACACTCAGGTAAAGTATGATTTTCCAGCCTCACGCTACTCTGAAGCCCAAGACCAATCAATGAAGATTTGTCAAGTATTAGCCGCTATACATAACCTCAAGCTCAACCCATCGAAGTGTAAGCTTGCTAGTTGGTAATATCAAATAAGAGCAAATCTTATAAGCAAAATTGACGTTCAAATCGAAGGAAAAATCATCCCTTATTCAGAATGTGCCAAAAATTTGGCTTACATTAGATGAAGACATGAGGATTGAAAAACACTTACAACACGTTTTGAGGCAATGTTACTGTTCGCTCCGGCTTCTATTTGCAAGAAATTGCATCACTGGTAAGCAATTGAAAAAACAGCTATGTGAAAGCTTGGTATTGTCTTAGATTTCGCATGGGCTAATAATTTATTACCCTGCCTAACTGCTGCGAATAAACGACGTCTACAGATAATGCAAAAATACTGTAGTAGGTACATAAATATTTGAGGAAATTTGATCATATATCGCATACGGATTCTGACCCTCAATTGGTTAACTATAGATAATCTATACAAATATTCTGTTATAAGTTCTGTGCATCGTATTTTACTATCCGCATCACCCCGATACCTGTTTGAAAAATTGATTACCAGATCCAGCACGCATAATATTAACACAAGGCATCAGGCTTTCTTTATACTGCCAGTCCACCGTACTGTTTTATATTCAAGAACCTTTATTTACAATGCCGTTAAATATCACAACAGTATTAATTTTCATTTTAAAAATATTGGGAATATTAAAACTTTTAAATTAAAATTGAAGTCCGATCTTCTCTCGCAAACATGAATTGCAACTTATACTTTTTTTTTTATTGGTTAATGATGGTTGATTTTGAAAAAAATCCCTTTGATCACAGTTTTGTTGGTTTAAAACAAACCGATTTAAATGTATGTACCATAGTTAATGTCATCCATTTCTATGTAATTTCGAATAAATTATCAAAACGGGGTTAGGTGGAAGAATAGCTCACGCTAAACCTCGCCCCTCGTAATGTACTAAATGTTTAGTGCAATAAAGACCCTTTATTATTATTATATCTCCGTTTGGTCATAGCTACTGTGGCTAGGACGAAACATCTTGTAGATTTGAATGTTGATCCAGTGGCGGCGGAGCCACGTGGAGAATAAAAAATCAAACTTAGTTTTTTGACGTAGGGGGGTAAGGGGTTGTAAACGTTGAACCTTTGTTATCAGTGAAATATACTAAGTGACATATAAATCCGAACACCCAGTTTAAATGGTTTTATTTTAATAAAAGTTGGTGAATGTATTTATCTTACTGTAAATAACAAGTGAAAAAATTTTCAGCCTTATCAGTTGGACATTCTGGTTTTTATGCTGCTTTTTTTTTAATTCACTAACGCTCTAAAAATGAATATTTCAGCCGCGTTAAAGAATCACCGTTAGCGGATTTTGGTTCTT